AAACCATTTCAGGTGACTACCTCTTGAAGCTCATGGAGAGAATGCCAAGAGTGTGCAAAGCAGTAATCAGAGCAAAGGGTGGCTATTTTGAAGAAACTAGAATATAAAACATGTTTTCAGTTATTTCACCTTTTTTTGTTAAGTACATAACTCCACATGTGTTCATTCATAGTTTTGATGCCTTCAGTGAGAATCTACAATGTAAATAGTCATGAAAATAAAGAAAACGCATTGAATGAGAAGGTGTGTCCAAACTTTTGGCCTGTACTGTACGTGCCACCACCATCCTATATAAGCTGTGTCTCTCTCTGTTCACTTCATCACACATAGCTTCTGCATGTAGCCATTGTTGATCCGCGCTTGTAATAAACGTGCATTAAGAAAGAACTCTGTGATCGGCCTCATCCTTGCATTCTCCAGATCATCAGAGAAACACCTACTCTCAGTAGGTGATGGTTTTATAAATGTAGCATAAGCTGCCTGAAGAAGTGAACCACTCTCGTAACCCTGAAAAACCAGGGTTAAACCCGAAGGTATCGCAAATCCTGCTTCTATGACTCTAGTGACAATGTTACTAGAAAACTAAGAAGGAAACAGACGGCTAAAAGAACAGAGACCACAGATATGGAGAGAAGACTCAATAAAAAGAAAGAGTGCAGAGAGTATTGGGCAATACATGGAGACCAGACTGCAATCACACAGCAGGTGTCTTTCTGTCCTTTCTTCCTGGACTAACAAATTGTGTTGCCATCACATCCTCCTCTGTATTACTACTCTTCTCACCTTCTCTGCTACAGTAGCAGCCACCTATCCCTCTCTCTGTCCTCTCCTCTGTTTATTTCTCCCTCAGCTCCAGTTATTGTATCTTGTATCCCCCTCTAACTTCCTATTTGCCCTTTCCTTTCCATTCTAGATCTCTCACCTGTCCTATTTCTCAGTCCAATTTGTCCAGTATTTTGTGGCAAATATTTTGATTGTACAATATATAAGAAATCCTTTCTTGTCTGACATCAGCAAATCTTTTTGTTTTACTTTATCCGCAATAACAGCCTCAGCCCTTCTCAGTGTAATATCTGAGCTATATCAGCCTTTATTTATATTTTTGAACATGCTGATGACTGATTCATATGTTGGCTTGCAACAACAAAACCTGTTAAAACTTAGAGCCAAGTGGATGCACAATAGATCCGGAGTCACTCATAGCAACTTCTCGCACTGTTTTGGCAAAATCTGGACTTCATTTCAATATGAACATTTTCACCGTGCCATGATATTACACTGCAAACATGTTGTGCTTGTGTGAGTCAGTGTTGAACTTGGCTGCTTCCTTCCCGCGTATCACAGCCTGTCAAAATATGCTCGCTGGCTTCCCATCTCTCTGGTTCTAATTCAGACCTCCTCCATCTGTCTCCCTGTTTCTGTCCCTGGAACTACTGCTTCTTCTTCTTCTCTCTCATTCCTCATCTTCATGCTTGCTCTTCTTTGTTTTGCTACCTCGCTCTCTCATGCTCATCTCTGCTTCCCTATCTCCATCGCTCATCCTCCCTCAGCTTGCGTAAGGTCCTAGACAGCAGAGATAAAGCGCGCTGCTCTCTTGCATTATCAAGCCATCCGTCCACTACCTGCACACAGCTATTATTACCGCCAGAGTATAGACAGAGGAGAGAGTGCATATCACTTTATCGTGCCCATCTCTCCATTTCTGTGACATCTCTCGGCTTGGATACTCCCCCTGTAGCTGTAATACGGACGGCAGGAAGCACATCCGAATGTTAATTGTGTAAACACGGGACCTCAGACACATTTTGCATTTGGTTCAGTTAATGATTTCCTGCAAGAAAACGGATGCTGTGGCTCGGTGCTGCACAGTGGAGAAAGAAAGTTGCTAACACTGCCAGGGTTGTTGCATGCCTTTCTTTCCCCACCGAGGAGCACTGATGGGGCCATATGGTGCTTGTCATGATGTCGTGTCTTATCTTCTCGTCTTGCCTCATCTTCTTGTCTTGTTATGACAAGAAATGAAAATACATGATGAGAAGATATGATACAACATGACAAATCTTCTCTTGTTATGGCATGAAATGGCACAAAACATTCTTGTTTGTTTTTTATTTTTTCAGGATATGAAATTATATGAAATTATGTAAATGTGAAATGTCTTGTTATGACATGACACAGTATGTTCTGGTCTCAATATGACATTTCTTGTGGCATGCAGTGGCGTGGCCTGATTCCAAATCAGATTTTAAATGACTGATTTGTCTAACATTGTTTTGTTATAACATGACATGATGTGATGTGGCGTGACATGATTTGATTTGTTATGACTTTCCTTGGCGTGATTTGTCTCGTGAATGTGACTGGATGGCCCAAGTCCTTGCTGAAATCTGTTCCTTCACAAGATCAGAATCATTTATCCATCCACTTATCTGCAACCGGGTCGCGGGGGCAGCAGGCCGAGCAAAGCACCCCAGACATCCCTCTCTCCAGCAACGCTTTCCTGCTCCTCCTGAGAGACCCCAAGGCTTTCCCAAACCAGATGACATATCTAATCCCTCCAGTGCGTTCTGGGTCTGCCCCAGTGCCTCCTACCAGTGGGACGTGCCTCTAACAGGAGGCGCCCGGGAGACATCCTGATAAGATGCCCGAACCACTTCAACTGACCCCTTTCAACACGAAGGTGCAGTGGCTGGATGTCTGAGCTCCGCACCCTATCTCTAAGGATGAGCCCTGCCAGTCCATTGTATTCACAATCTCATTCTTTTGGGTCACTACTCAAAGTTCTCGAGCATAGGTGATGGTTGGGATCTCGATGGACTAGTAAATCGAAGGCTTCACCATCAGACTCAGCTCCCTCTTAACCACGATAGTACAGCGCAGCGGCTGCACCACACCCCTATCCATCTCACGCTCCATTTCACCCTCTCTCGTGAACAAGACCGTGAGATACTTAAACTCCTTTTCTCGAGCCAAAGGAGTTAAAAACCAGAGCTAATACCAGAATAATATAGGACAACAAACTGACACTGACCCTCTTCAGCCCTCTACGGTCGCATACCCAGGGTTCATTCCAAAAACCCTGCATTTGCTCCTGATTTATCGGTCACTGTACATTCCAGTCTAATCTTTGGGTCATGACTGTGAAAACTGCATCGCAGGCACAAGAAGCTAAAATGACTTTTCTTGGCAGCGTATCTCAGCTTGGTCTTTGGGGCAAGATGTCAGGGACAAGCTTGCACCACAACTGTTGCCCCTCAGCTTGAAACAATTGCCTCCCTGTGGAGGTTTTCTGAGAGGAGACACATGGGCACTAGACCAATGACATATGCTGTCTGACCTGGGAACACCTCAGGATCCCCCAGGAAGAACAGACGTAGAAAAATATGAGCTACTCGGCTTACTCCGCTGACTCTGTAACCGGACCCAAATATGTAGCAGGAAATGGATCAATGGTTTTCTGCTAACTGTGTGGGAACATGTTGCGTCATGTCCTTCCACAGCAGGTGTGTCGGGATGGTGTTAAAGCGTCTGCAAACATAATTTAAGCTTTGTTACAGCAACATTTAGACACTTAATGGAATCAATACCAGTGGTGAAAGCAGGTGGAGGGGGAGCACTTGTTGTTTGATGCCTCCAGTACAAGTCCCTACAGGATTGTCTCACATGCTTCATCCACTGTGTGAGGTGTCGGCTCCGAGACTCAGATTCACACCATCACACTCACAGTCATTAGTCACTCATCTCTTCACACCATCACACCCTGTCACCTAATACAGTGTGTTGTCCTTCCCCCAGTGTTAGACACTCAGTCTGTGCTTTGTGGCTAATCAGTGCTTGAAGAAAAAAGAACAATACTAGCAAGTCATTTACACCTACATTTAGGTAACAAAGGCAGCTGAAATGCTGTATGACACAGACAAACAGCTACTGTAATCATTGCTTATGCTGATTTTGCTGGCTCTGTACAACTCACTAGCTTTGGCTGTCTTTACAGAAAAGACATGCTCAGCAGACGCCAAACACAAACTGACCGCAAACAAACACCACTGCTTAAATAAAGGAATGCTTACTGGAGACAGAAAATCTGGCATCACCATCATTTATGCTACAAGCTCTTTCTCTGATATTACATTTTAATGTGGATCTGTCTAAAGTGAAAACAGCAGGGTATAAGTGTGTCTTTCTGTGAGTGACTTACTGGTTTGGATTGGATTTCTTTGGCATAGAGGGGTTGGAGGAACTCAGAGTCCCCTTCCAGTTTCAGGCCCTTCTCTGTTATTCTCAGGTTGCCCATGCCGTCCTGTGAGGAACAAAGACACAGTCACAATTAATTCATAGTCTGGTCACGAATATGTGTCTGTAAAAGCATGACTATCATGACAGCACCTGACAGTTTGACACATTGAACCACCAATCAGTCACAAATGATGATTGGAAACAGTATTGTCATCACAGAGATAAAACCAAGATAAAAGTAATGCCAACTTTTAATTGTGTTTTCTCAATTTTTGTCCTGTTTCTTCCACCGTTATTAACATCAAGGATGAGCCAATGCAGCACTTGTAGGCAAGCCAAGACTCCTCACAACATTTCCTTCAAGTATTTCCTGCCAATATGGTGCAGCACCATGAACATTCATCGCTGGCTGGGTCTAACACCTGCCATTTTATTTCTGACACCTGCATTTTGATAACACCTGTTATTTATCTACGTGGCAAGATTGCTGCGTGGGGAAAAATTAAACTTAATATCACACACGCCTGATGTTGTGAGGGAAGATGTTATTTTGTTACGCACTCGCAGATTACCAGGTACAAACTCACTGAACACTGTACACAGACCATATTAGACTCATTACATAGTCTCCCTAGTTGATCAGCTGCCCTAATCTCTTTTAATCTTCTTTAATGCAGAGATAGTGGTTGGTGCTTGACTTCTTGCATTAGTAGTACAAACTGATCTATTGGCAAACATGGTGTATACGTTGAATACATAAACAGGGCTGGGCTGGGAAAATGCAAGAGACTATGTTGTTTGAAATTTAAAGGTATACTTCACCTCAAAAAACACATTGGGTCTCATTCATGAAACATGAGCAGAAGGAATTTGTGTGTAAACTGTTCGCAGAAAGAAATTTACGTGCATGTCCGCATTCATCAATATTTTAGTAGCTCCGATCTTTTCGTAGCTACTAACAAAATCTACTCCTGCTCCTGACCACTCGTAGTGCTTGTGTAAATTTAGTAAAGCACATAAATGTTGCTTGTCACTATTGGAAATTACAATTTTAATTCGTATTGCGCTCTGTTATGTACACAATACACAGATGCCTTTGAAACACGTAATCTAAACATGACAAAATATTAAAAATATAACACATTTAGTTAAATCAGTTGGCAATTAGCAGGTTTAAGATCAAGATTAGGTTCACGGTTGTGAATTATCTATGTAAATCGACTCAATAGATTACACGTTCTTTCTACATGTTGAATGATGATAATAAAAATATCTGTAAGGACAGCCGGATCACAGCCTCTTCGGCCTCGGTGCCTGGGTTCAGCAGGGGCAGCAGGTGGTGGAGCCACGAAGGAGCACGCGCCAGCTGAAAGAATTATTTGAGACAACATGTTTTTTTTTGTTTTTTTTTGTGTGATCATTTGAATAAATAAATCTGATTTGAAAAATGTTTAATTTACGTTGTATTAAACAGAGCTTTAGGCTATTAAGATTCAAATAATTTGAAGACGATACATACAAACTGCTGTAGGCTATATGTTATCCATATCATTTGTTAAAATAAATGTTAAATAGCTCTACATTCCGACAGCCATCACTGATTTAGAGTTTATCCATTACCCACAAAACATCTCTGGTTTCCTGTTCCCACTTCATTCAAAACCCCACAAATGAATCTTCTGTTTGTTTGGTGACCGCTGTATTTTTTGTGTGTGTGCTTATGCGTTTCTTTGCCTCCAGTTTCATATGAAACCATTTACGCTTCACCTCTGACATGGTTCTTTGTACCACGGAGACAACATTAACAGCATCTGTTACCTCCCTCCAGGCCTTCACTTTGCCTGTCCCTGTCACACTACTACTAACTGAAGAAAATAAAATGTTTTTTCTTAAGTCCACTTCACCCAAAAATATTTCGATCTCCGCTTTGGAAAAATTCTTTTTTCCTTCTCTCTCTTTCTTTCTTTGTGCCATGACTGACAGGTCGACTGGATGCACCTACACCTCCTTATATGGTGGTCATTGGCTATTCATGGGCGGGGATTTATGCTAATTGCTGATTACCGGGAGCTCGCTGTCACTTTACGATGGATTGGCATTCATGATCATACCCACGTATTTACGATCAAATCTGAGTTTCCCGTGGCGTTCCTGAATCCGGAGTAGGTTTTTAGTAGAGTAGGCTTTTATGTGCAAATCTACACACAGATTTACTCACTTTTCATGAATGAGACCCCATGTGTGTACTTATTACTCAACCAGTGTCAGGGTGAATTTGTAAAGGAAACTTTGTTTCTCTAGAGTGCCTCAATGGTTAATGAAGAATCCAAACACACAGAAAGTTAGCTTGTTTGTGTTATTGTGTGATTTTTAAAGGGTTTATTCAGGTTAACCAAAGCCACACAATAACATCAACCTGCTACTGATCAGGGCAGCGGTATACCGGCAGTTCCCATGTTCATGTCAATTGAGTCTGGCTTTGAAGAGAGCATAGATGTTTCACTCTCAGTTCAGTTCCCTGGCAACAGAAAGGGCCGTCTCTTTGGGCAGTACTGAGCATATGACTGAATAAATGAGACTTGGATTATACTGCACGAGTTGTGTGGGAGTTTGTAAACAGATGTTTTATTTTAGTTCTGCTGTAGTTAAATGTAGTTGCGTAGGACTTCAATTCATCAAGAGTTTTACTCAGTTTTTGGATTCTTCGTCCACCGATGAGAAAAACATTTTCTTCATGAATTAAACACAACACTTGGTCAGTAAATTGATACAACAATGGTTGTTTGGGGGGTGAAGTATTGCTTTTAAGACTAAATATTGCACTATATATTCAAAGAAACACAGACATTAATGCAAACTGAGAGCTTAGAGGCATTCTGTTGTGCTAATCATGTAAACAGTACTTGCATATGGTAAATGGACCTGCATTTATATAGCGCCTTTCTAGTCATCCGACCACACCACAAGTCACATTCACCCATACATTCATACATTGGTGGCCGAGGCTACCACACAAGGTGCCACCTGCTACTACTACTCAGTTTTAACACACTCACACACATGGAACAGCCATTGGGAGCCATTTGGGGTTCAGTATCTTGCTCAAGGATGCTTTGACATGCAGACTGGAGGAGGTGGGGATCGAACCGCTGATCTTTTGATTGGTGGACGACCCACTCTACCTCTGAGCCACAGCCACCCCATATAGGGGGAGGTTCATGTCAATTTTGTACAATATGATATCTAAAATGTTGCATCTAAAGGGCCAGTGTGTGAGATTTAGGGGGATTTAGCGACGTCTAGCTGTGAGGATTGCAGACTGCAACCATCTGCAACTTCTCCTGGCAAAAATTCCTTCACTTTTCATTGTTCAGGAAGTTTTTAGCAGCAGCTGACTTACCCAAAACAAATGAACCCAGTGATTTAAACCGGTGCTGCTCATTGCAAATGGGCTTCCAACTATGGGAATGGCCCTATTTAGAGTCAGTGTTTGGTTTGTCTGTTCTGGGCTACTGTAGAAACATGGTGGTGAACATGGCGATGTCCATAAATGAGTGCCTGCTCCCTGTTTAGATATAAGCGGCTCATTCTGAGGTGAGGAACTTTTTTTTTCAGGCGATTAGACAGACTGAAGAAAATATAGTTATTATATCATATCCATTTCTGCCAATATATCCCCCTAAATCCTACACACTGGACCTTTAATAGTCTCAATTGATAGTAACTCTAATAAACACAGCAGGTTGATACTGAGCTTTGATATCTACAAGGATGTGCTGTGTACAGAATGATTCAATGTGCCAAACTCCAACATCACATCCAGTTCAAGAGCTTCTTCATCTGACTGACTTGAATTTTACCGACTGACTTCATTTTATGGTAAAAATAACTTCATTATAACTTCAACAAGAAAGTTGAGTCAGAACTGCATGTTTAACTCTGAAGTTAACACTTCTACATTTTGTCCTTGTTTACTTTTTCAGACAAGCACCCAAAGCATAAATTTAGTTTTTCTCTCTGGAAGCTAAGCTCATTTAAAGACGGCAAACCACCAAATGCTTATGCATGTTGTATTTGGTAAATGTAGTGAAGCGCTTTAAAGTGGCAGCAGGCATAGAATATTATTTCATAAAACTGGGTAAATAAATTAATGTAGGAACAACCCAGAGGCTAGAAAAGTCCATTTGACAAGCCGGTCAGTAAATGAAAGTCTCCAATTGCCAAAACCAGACATGCTTCACTTGAACTCACAAAATACAGTCAAGGTATCTAAGAGTAAGGCGTTGTCTTTTATTTACATTGTTTTTTTTCTTTATTGCTCTCTTCAAATATTATAAAAACAAGAGAATACAGTGCAGGCACTTGACAGCCAGCCAAAGGTATTGCAGCAGTTTTACAGATGCTTCCATTGTCTCAGTCTGTAGAACAGCAGCAGACCAAAGGATATTAACCAGCAATGATAAGAGGAGATTGGCTCAGGGGCTGCTTTGATTCAAATACAACTAGCAAGGCTGACCCTTCACTTTCCATCCAGTCATTATATATATATTAAATAAGATCACCCGCTGGATCGTTTCAAAGATAAGAGACATCAATGTGATAGAAGAGTAAGAAAAGGGAAGAAAAAAGCGGTTTATCTGCCCATGTGATCTTCTCTCGCAAAGACTTTTTTTGTTTTCCGCCGTCTTTTGATCCCTCAGGCTCTGACGAGCAAATGGAGATCAAGACCCTTTGAAATCCCAAAGTAACTGAGGACTGTTTTCAAGCCTCCTTCATGTAATCCTTCCCCCCACTGTGTAAAACATATTAAAATTCTGGCACTGTTGTGGCAACAGGGGGGTTAGTCCTGGACGTGTTGCGATTGTCAATGATCCCCAGGTGGAAATCAGCAGGCCTGTCAGGGAAGGCCAGCAGACGTTATTTAAACTCAATTTCCGACACTTTGATGACGAAAATCAACTGTAAGAAAGGAGAAGTATATCTTCCCAACTTGGAGGTTCTCACCAGAATAATCTTAAACACCGTTCTTCTTCACAGACGTGTTGATTTCTATCAGAGATGCCC